ACCTGCCCAATGCCTTGAGCGAGGATGTGATGCTCGTCCCCCAGATAGACCTGTTTCAGCGCAGCAAGGGGACGGTAGTAAAGAAACCACTTGTGGTGCGAGGACATGTGCGAGAACGCACTGGAATCAATGATCCAGCAGTGAAGGAGTGCATCATTGCACAACAGTTCCTTGGCCAGGAAGAGACAGAGCGTCTCAAATCCAACCTCATGCACACTGGTGACTTTCGCAGACTCCTTGCCTTCGGAGGACTTGTCCTTCTTGTCAGCCTTGGTAGCTGCCTCGGATTGACTCACTTTGAGCTTGCAACACTCGTTAACCATGTGACCAGTGTAGCCACAGTGGGTACACTTCTTCTTCTTTTTCTTATCCTTCTTATCTGGTGACTTCACACCCTTGCCGGCTCTCACGAGCAGCACAGACTCAGACGTGCCCTCTTTTTGGCACTTTTCCTCAGTGAGGACCTCATTGATCACCTTCTCGGTGTCAAGTTTGCTGTCCTGGGTCATGAGGATGGTCCGGAGGGTGCCATAGGACAGGAGAAGGGAAATCGACATGGCAACTGCTATGAGTGACTCATCAAGGATGAGTCCAAGAGATGCAAGAATTTGCTTCTTTTGCAGCATGGCATTGAGCTGGTTCTCGAGTGCTATCTTGTTGCTGAGTGTGCCTTGAAACAGGTCACTTACGAGGTAAGTGATTGTCTGTTTTCCAACTCCCTTGTAGTGCCTGTTGAGCGTGTCCCAAGCATCCTTCGCAATCTCCATGTGTATGACTGATGAAAGGGGTTTGTCCTTGAGCATTAGCGTAATTTGCATGAGCGCTTCATAGTTCCGCAAATGCCAGGCTTCCTGCAAGACAAGGTTGGTCGTCCCGGGATCCTTCTCAGTGCCATCAATCAGCAGATAGAGTCCACGGATTCGCAAGACCCATGTTGACTTTTGGGTATGTCGGGCAAGTGTCGCTGCCAGCCCGGGTCACGTGGTCATGTGCCAGTGTGGGAATAGGACTTATGTAGGTGTCGCACGCCGTAGGTAGCCCCATTGGTTTGTAACCTTATCCACCATTGATCCCTGTCTATCGAGGACGTTGTCTGCCAGCGGTCTTTCCGGCGTCGTTCTCACAACCCATCCAACGCAATACTTCCATTGCTGGAAGTTGCTGCCCTCATTTTCCAACAGAGGGATGTTGTATAGATGATTAGACTGGCCTTTCGGCACAGCCGGCTGATTCATTGCGGGATAGAGTGTTGTCATGTGCTGTGACGTGGGAGCGAGAAGTTAGGCTTGTGGGAAGATAGAAGTGATTGAGTTTTGTTTTGAGTTCTTGATGTGCTGAGCAATCCGGTCAGGGGCTGGGGCTCATAACCTGTCGTAAGTTGAACGACGGGAGTGCAACCTGAGGGATGCGAGCACGATCACATAGGGACTGTAAGAGACAGGGCAAACACCGTTTCAGTCTCCTTCATGTAGCAAGGAACTGTATTCATTAACTAACCTGTAAGAGACAGGGCAAACACCGTCTACAGTATGTCAGAAATAAGTCCAAATGTAAGTAAAAAGCACATACCTCAGTCTCCTTCGTGTAGCAAGGAACTGAGGTGCGTCTCAACGCCAGCATGTAGGTATCGTACATATTACATAAGCCGCGCGCTAGAACTAACTAAGTCTGTGTCGCTATGTATCGTAAATTTCAACACTGCTTTCATTTCCAGCTTGAACGAAAGCGAATGGTGCAGTAGTTCTTGAGTCCCTTCCTGAGGAACAGCTCAAGCTGTTGTCACGTTGGTGTACACCTCGGTTGCAACAGCTTGTGTCGGAGTTTCATTTTCCGATCACATCAGCGACCTCATTGTATGCTTCGAGCTACCTGCCCATAGAATCCTTAAGCATTGGCTATGCGGACCTTGAAATATCACGCGTGATGGATCGTGATGGAAGTGTTACTTTTACGTGACTGCCGACTTGGGGGGTCTGCCGACTACCCGGGGAGGCACAGTAGTTAGCTTCCAGCGATGGCTCCCACAAACTTTCGCGGGCGAAGCTGCGCATCACTGAAAATACCATAGTATGTGAGACTTGTTTCAGGATCTGTCACAGGTCGTGTCGCATACTACATCTGAGCCTTTCATTCACCGACTTCACTCTCGCATACTTGCCATGTTTGACATCCATGCTTAGCATCACTGTAAGCCTCATCATGCTGACCATCCACCCCGCCGCCACATGTTCCAAGTCTTGGGTCCATAGCATGTCCATGATAATCCCCATCGAGCCTGCTTCCTCGTAGTTCCCGTTTTCAATGTTGTCCACCGCCATATTCGCGCTGAACTACTGCAGGTGTCCCCGAAGATGATGGACAAAGTACAGCCTGGTACAGTCGCTTTCCAATCGCTCGACGAACAGCATGCAAGCTCATTGACCTAGGACGCGTGTCTTCACTATCAATGATGCAATACATTGCAGGAATCGCCGGCCCGATTGTCGCACACCATCGTTCAAGATCTATCTTCGATGATTCTAATTATGCAGTGTATCGCGTAGTTATCGATGCGCTCTGCATCTCACAGTAGCGAGATTCATCCGGCTTAGTTATGTTCCGAACCTCAATAGGCCCTCAAATGCAGACTCAAGGGCCTACAGATGAGACGACCGAATAAGTGGTAGATCATTCACGAACCTAACATTTCGTGAGCCGCCTATACTTGTGGAGAAGATATAGGCTAATCATTCATGATCTAACGCCACCCAGCGCTCTTACAAAAAATGAGCTGCTTTGCTCAAGGAACCATATTTGTGTGCCGAAACTCCGTTCTTGTGGATTCACAAGGGGACGACTGAGTACGGTGAGTATGGTTGCTTACGCATTCGCATAGGAAAACGTGCCGTCGGGCTTGAGGGAACGACGGGAACGAGAGCACCGACGTCGCCACATGATGACTCGATGCGCGGCGCGACGATAGAATAGCGACTATGAAGGTCGAGTCCCTGAGCATGGCACGAGGCGTCAGGAACGAGCGTGTCACACTGTTGCTGAGGGCAAATCGAGTAGTTGCATCTCGTGTATATGTACAGCTCAAATCCGAACTGTTTGGAGGACTCTCCAGAAGGCCAAGGAGCGAGAGCTCAAGAAAGTCGAATCACACACTGGGCGATTGTACTATCGGTCCTCGGTGCGAGTCGCACCGATCCTCATCGGTAGGTCGAAGCGGCGTTCTCAGGCCATGGACTGCGCGGTCGTTTCGCTTGAGATCCTCATGAACCATTCGGGCGCACAGTACGCGGACTATTTGAAGTGCGAGCCAATGCACTCATTGATCCTGTCCAGCGAGGAAGCGGTGGGATATAAAGCGATCACCTGGTCGTGCAAGGACGCGTGGGTTATCCTCAACCTCGGGGCGGTTGCATGTCTCTGTGCGACAGTGCCAGTATACTTGTGTACACGGGCATGCCGTTCGTCAACAGTATCACTAATGGACCAGGACGTCAATCAAACCTTGAGGTTACAAGGGATATATGGACCTACTACTACAACTGAGATGACGCCAAAATGAATCTTAGGGCCGTGTGGTCAAATATATCACGCCAACGATGAGGACAAACTATAAGTTCGACTAGAAGCTGCGCACTTCGCGGTGATCGTCTAAGAGCGGGTATACCATTGCAGCGTCATAGTTGGGTTGAGCTACTACGCAATGTTGAGCTGTTTCCATCCTCGTAGTACACCCCGATCTATCCACAGTATTGAATTAGGATTACGAAACGAGTGCGTAAACCATCGAATACGTCTCTTGCCTAATCTCTGCCGCCGCCTACGACTGACTTGCAGATGCGATTAGTGAGGGGAGGTATCTGGGGCGATCAAGAGGATGGGTCGAATCATGCGCATGGCAAAGAATTACTGACGGATTGTTTTTACTGTACAACGTGTGTTTTGGGTATCGCAGCGAAACATTCTGAGCCATGTGTGAGATGAAGTACCAGACGCACATAAAAGAATGTATCATCAGCCCGTCTTGAGATTGACGGGTGCATCACACACGCAGCCGCGTGATCCGCCAGCAGTCTCTCGAAAACATCGTCTGTCTTGTCTCTCAGAAATCCTTGAGGGCGCCACTTACGCGTAGAAGGCTGGACCATAGTAACCACCATTTCTACAAAGTGCTGTCAGTCGCCATGCGTGGTCATTACGGCAGAGAAAAGGATTGCGAGTCTGCTTGAAAACTAGAGCATGCCGCTAGTTGTTACGGAGTCGAGAGCTGGGGAAAATGACTTGCAGCATTGACGATCCCACGTGCTTGTAGTTTCCGTATTCCACAGATCAACCGCAGCTTCTCGCTGCGTACAGGCAGGTTGACATACGAAGAGCCGATGCCCACGGGTTGGTCCACGTAGGGCCTAAAATGCCTGTCAGTCACTCGCCGAGTCAAGTTGCTGTCGCGTGCACGTACGGGTATATTGTCTCATAAATTCGCGTTATATACATGCTTCTGCTAGCAATTGTCATGCAGCACAGCCCACTCTCCTCGAGTATGCCAGCATACCCGGGGCTCAGAAGCGAAGTAAGTCGGATCTTCATGTCTGATGATTCCACCGCATTCAGCCATATTGTGGACGGATCGTTTATTGAAGAGTCAGAACCTGTGTCAAACCTCAGTGACCGGAACAAACGAGACACGGATTGTACATACAAGACGTTTCGTTGAAAGTTGTATGTACCAACGCCTAGGAGACGTTGCGTACCAAGTCCCACACATGTAGTCGTGTGCCGTCATCGCAGCCGGATGTAAATGCCGAGATGCACCCGACAGCTCCATAGCTACCGACATCATGGGAGAATGTACTGGGAATGGGAATGGAAGGACAAAATCAGTGCAATGCTCCTCAATACTTCCCATCCCTTGCTGACAATCGCCACGGATGGTCCGGGAGTACATCTGGTTTATTCGTGCAGATCGTAGATGCTAGGATCAGCTCATTTCCGTCTGTGAACCAACGTGATCACAGAAGCTCCAGTCGAAACGGCGGGTCGAAGAGGTTCCCTGTCAAACCATTCCGAATGTTCAAGACTTGGAGAGCATGTGTAATCGTGACAAAGTGAGGTATGAGGCTAGATATCAACCTTTGGGACCGTATCTGTGGATAATTTCAGTTTGAACAAGACGACGTCAGTCAAACGTTCACCTGCAAATCTACTACAGAGCGTACCTCGAGAAATGGGTTTCCAGCGACCAAAGGTCTTGCACAGCGGGCAGCACATCGCCGACTTTCCCCTGTTGATAAGCGAGTAACTCTGCGTCCTCAGGTTCCGCAGGCGGTCCCATCGTCCACTCAACTCGAGCTTGATCGCAATCTAAACACCACTGACGGACGCTGACCGCGCGTTGAGCACTTTTCTTCGTAGTATAGGCTAGTGTACCCATGCTGGTGTCGCCAGAACGTTTCCTCTTTAACCGTGAGACGATTGGCCGGAATGGGGTAGAAAAGCGGACAGCGTCGTCATCTGACAGGGGAGAACAATACTGCCTCACGGGCCAGTGGAAGTAACCATCAGGACAGGCCGAGGGCTCCCCTGTTGCCCACAACCGTCTGTCGGGAACCATCTCGGAAGGTACGGGGATCGTCCACGACATATACTGTGAGGCTATGCTATAAGCATGATTGGCCTCCTTGTGGGGCAGTAGACCCCGCAAGACATGCTGGTAGTGCAGTGGTCGCTTGCTCAGTTTCTGGCCCGCTCGAAACATCGTCAGACGGAGATTAGCATTCAGCTCGTGCCACCCGAGCGAGCGATACGAGCAAGGAGCCGTCATGACGGAATGTGTGATGGGGTGACCCATGGTCGTGCATGAGTCTGGAAGATGCTCGTCCTCTGCGATGATGCAATACTTGTAGACCTGCGTCACCATAAGCATGCTATTAGCCAAGAGCGCATACAATACATACAGTGCCATACTGAAGTGGACTCTTCAAATGATCAGGATGGGGTATTATCAACAAGCGATTCGTTTCCCAAAGTTCTCGAAGGTCGCGTCGGACTGCATGCGGTATGTGAGGCGACAAATGTCGTGTACATCAATAGAAGATACGCACGGAATATGATATTTGCAGGCATGTGGCAACGGAGGGCGTTGTAGTTGGTGCGCATATTGAATGTTATGTAGTCCATCTTCCGATTCACCTTGTCAGCCACAAAAGCCGGAATACCAGTCATGCCTGCTCACCAATAATTGAGGCATGTCGGGAGGCAGAATACAACATGCCTCTACGTCAGCAGACACGCATCCGGTGATCATGCACCTCGGATGAGGTCCGAAAGGAATGCCGTCCTCGACCTTGAACGCGTTGCGAGCAGTGCCGGACGTGCGCATTCTCTGGGCAGGGACCTCATCAGTCTCTGTGTCCGGACACCGTTTCCGCTTCCGCGGGCGGGGGATGTCTTCGACAAGCGATTGTTGATCAATGTGGGGGGAGACCGACTCGAGTGCATGGTGCTGGGCTAGCCTGATAATGGGTGAATGGGCAAAAGCGTCCTTAGATAGATGATATTCGTAGTGGAGCGGTCGCTTCATGAATTCACGACCCACTCGAATTGTCATTAAATGCAGATTGGCACTCAGCTCGTGCCATCTCAGCGAGCGACACGGGCTGCAAGTCGTCGCGACTGGAGGCCTAATGGTATGATCCTTGGAGATGCGCGAGCTTGAAGGGTGCTCATCTTCTGCAACGACGTAGTACTTGTAGACCTACTTGATAGTGAGTGCAGCAACCACCTGAGGGGACGTACGATACATACAGGGCGGGTATCAGGGTGGTCTATATGGTCGGGATGGGGTATCATCAACAGGCGGTTTGTGTCCCACAGAATGCGGAGGTCACGTAGAACTACATGAAGGGTGTAAGAGAAGGGGAAACGGACTGGAGATATGCAACTACGCACGGAATATGATATTTGCAGGCGTGCTACAATAGGCCGCATTAGAGTCAGTAGGCATACGGAGCGTCGTGCAGTCGCCCTACAAAGCTGCCTTGTCAGCTGCGAGGTCAAAGTAGCAATCACTGTACTCACCAACGGTTGAGGCGTGTCGGGAGGCAGAATATAGCACGCCTCCACCTCGGCGGACACGCAGTTCGTGATCATGCATCTAGGGTGAGGTCCGAAAGGAATCCCGTCTTTGAGCTTTGACGCGTCGCTCGGACTGTCAGACAACCTCCTTCTCTTAACACGGACCTCATCGGTCGTCGTGTCTGCACACCGTTTGCGCTTCGGCGGGCGAGCGATAGTTTCAAGTAGCACGTGTATGTCAATATTGGGGGCGACCGAGGGATCCGCGTCCGGTTCGACGACCCCGATCTTGGTGCAGCCGTGGATGGGTATATGCCCAAGACCGAAACAAGCGCGGTCCTCGGCCTTGATTGCGTCGCTCGAAGTGCCAGACGTCCGCGCCCTCTTTGCGCGAACGTCATAGGTGCTTGTGTCCGCACTTCGCTTCCGCTTCAATGGACGGGAGACGTATTCTAGCAACGGGTCCACTGCATCGGGCTCGACGTCCCCGACACTCGTGCAGTCGCTGATGGGTGTATGTCCAAGACCGAAGAATGCGCCGTCATCGACCCTGGTTGCATCGCTCCATATATTAGGCAGCAGCGCTCTCTCTGCGCGAACTTCATCAGCCCTTGTATCCGCCAACCGTCTCCGTTTCAGCCGATGGGTGATGTCTTCTGGTAGCGAGGAGTCCGCCTCTGCTTCGACAATCCTGATTTCCGTTTCTTTGCCAGCGTACGTTTGCTTAGAATAGTCATAAAAAGAGATAGATGGTGCACGACTGACTCCAGAAGTGAGTGTAGCGGGTCGAGAGCTTTCGCGTGAAGAGGAGCTGCCAATATCGTCCGAAAGCGCGGGAGTACTCATTTCGCGTGGGGGGTGCTCAGCAGCAGGCGTAAAAACATGTCAGGAATAAGGACGTTAAAGCCATTCATTTTTGCGTCGACTGTATCGCGAATTCAGCGAGGTAGTGACGATGGTGTAGCGCGAACAGCGTGCGCCACCAGTGACTTTAGAGGATGCTTAGTCAGCGCTACTTTCGGAGATCCCCGACACCTGTCAATCAGTCAGTCATATAGTCAATTAGTCCTCAGTGCATTTGGGCTTACCAGGGTGCGCACACAACCTCTATGCGGTCGTAGAGGTCTTTGTGAGCCTTGTGAGCTCGCTCAGTTGGCGTACTTTGTGATACACCGAACGGAGATCTTTGATTCCTCTACGGGCACATTCACCTCGACTGAGAGTGTTGTAACGTGCTGCAATCGCCGCTGCCTCAGTATAGAGTATCATGCACCATCTTGGGAAGAATCCCCAGTGTGCAGTGTGTCGATATGTCTAACAAAACGTTCACAATTGTAAGAACATTCGTATCTGACCTCCCATGCTCGTCATCAGAATCCATCTATCTGTTTAATCATAAGGCTAAGCAGACAGTATGATGTCAGAGCTGGGACTGGTATATACAAACACCCGGTACACGCCAGCAGTCGTCCGGCTGCTCTCAATGACGCGCAAACAGATGTAGGTTGCACAAGCTGTCGTACTGGTCGGTACATACTTGTAGAATTGAAGTCGCTGTCGTCAAGCCCAGACCCACGAGGACCACATCACGGAGCACACACTGGGGGAGATAATGCGTCACAGACGACCAAAGCAGCACTGTTGCACAACTGCATTTTCGCTGCCCACTGCCGATGACCACGTACCTCCGGCAAGCGAGCGCTGTTCGCCAGTAAAGGCTGGGAGTTATGCTGTAAGTAATCACCCACAGGTACAATGTCGGCTATCGATATGGTGCTGGTGTGAGGGTCTCATGCTCCCTGAGTGTCCCTTGTGTGTGTGATCGCATCGGCATAGTGATAGTATTCGGCCAATAGAGGCTGGCGATGATGACATCACTGGGCGAGAAGGTCCACTGAAGATACAGGGAGTGTCCGTGATTTCTAACGAAGCATTGGTCGCAGGAGAAACCTGACAGCGAGAACACACAGATGCAGTGGAACGCGTCGAATCTTGCGAAGACCAACTTGGCAGGTGTTCGAGTGCGACATATGACGTGTACCTGCGGCAAGGCAACAAGACAGACGAAAGAGTGTCAACGAGTCGAGCCGCGAGCGTCGAATCAGCTACGTCTGCATCGTTCCTATTTGTCACTCCGACGTTCATTGGCCGATCGCATTGATCGCGCGTTGCTCTAGGCGCCCGTCTCTGGCGAGGCTTTGGATCGAAGCTGTTTGCGCCGGCACTCGGACAGTTGTAAAAGAGTAAGGGTTGTATGTTCCTGATCAGTGATACTGTATGTTTGTAGCTGCTGTCGCTGCAGCATCTCGGCTGATCGGTCGGCGACAACGGTTACTTTGGGCAGACACGCCTACCTTTTATTGCTCGCCCTACTCGCCGTAAGCCACCGCTCATAGACATCGAATGGAGAGAATATATGGATAATTGTAGGGTGGTAAACTGCATAATGGGACATCGGTAGTTAATCATGGTGTATTCCCCATATCTAAATTGGCCATAGAGCCACATAGATCCTGATAATCACCCTCTCGCCCGGCATCCACCGAGTAATGTGTATTGACATCGTCGATGAACGAAATTTGGCTGACGCGTTGTTCGGGTGCGACACTTGCCGCTTGCAGGCAGCATGTGTCGTGTCCATTCATTTATTGAAGGGTACGTTTCGACTTTGTGCTGCTTGTAGAAGATGTCTAAAGCTGTTTCAAAGACGTCTGGTCCAGCACCCTTCCATAGTGATAAGCCGGCGTTGTATATAACGAACTGGGCAGGAACGCGGGGTTCCACCCAGCCTAAGGTTTTGAATTCGCAAAGGCAGTATTCTTCTCTGTATCGGGAAGGTCGCTGTGGGCGATGACACAGTAGTTATAGACGGGGCCATTGCACACCTCAAATGGTTCGTCCAGCGACTGGAGAAAACCATGAGCAAGATACTGTATCTGGGCCTTGTCTTTGTACTCACCATGCCTACATCGATGGGAACAATAGATTGTTTGAGATAATTGTCGATAACTTGAGGTTCAGGCACGAACATTAGATGTCCTTTGTCTCACAAGCAGTGCATATCGGCGCTGACTATGTGGGTTTGGGGTCAGAGCTACGTCGGCCGGCCGGGACATAAACACTCACATAAGAAGATATTGGAAGGTGGAGTTGACCTTGAATTCATCAATCCCCCACCACGCCGCCACTTTCTCACACTACATGTATGCAAGCATCAAAACCATGGTCACAGGGGCGTCATGAGGAAGTATTGACAACTTACCGTATCGATGTCGGTTCTTCGCGGGATAACGTGACATGCCTGTGTGGGCTTGAATTGCTGAAGACTCAGCAGGCACCGTGATCCAGAAGGCGTCAAGTGGGCAGTATACAACTTCAGATTGCTACCGCATGGTTTGCCTTTGGGCTTGTGGGCCTTCCATTTGGGGAGTTTGTCCATTTCCAAACCTCCTGGACTCACAAGAGCTGTTGCGCCACAAATACCTTGAGGTGAGTCCATGTCGCATGACAAGGCAAGGGATAGCGACGTACCTTTGGGGCGTTTGGAGGTCATTGGTTCGCTTGTGGAAATGATTACGGGAAGACTACGAGCGAGATAAGTGATTGCGTTGCCACGGTTCAAGTATGCTCACTGACCTAAGCGCTTCCTCTGCCGCCTGTTCCTTTTCTTCCTTCATTATCAACTCTGCCTCCCTGGGTGGTGGCGCGGTCCACACGTCAGATAGGGTCAGGATATCCCCCACGAAGCAGGATGTGTCGACTGGAAGATGTATTCTTTCGTAGAACACCTTCAACACCGTCACCCACATCTCCGTGTCCTCCTTGAGCTTCATGGCCGTGTTCAAGAACATGAAGTGCGGCTTCGCATGGGACCGGATGATCCCAACCTTGTCGAATCCGTAGGTGAACCCTTCACGGATCAGAGAGTTGTCAAGGTCTGGGTGAGGGATCACACAGTACTCGTGGATCTTGGCTTCGTCGCTATCCTATACGCATTGTGGCGACGATTCGCATCAGTCGCAGATTATCAGGCTGCAGTGACTCACCTCCAAAATGTTGTGTCTTTCACCATCCTTGTACTTGTCCATATATCCGTTCACCACGTTGGGCATCGGAGCGATAAGAATGTCTCCGCGATCCCACAATATATGCAGGTCTCCACGAATTGTATGCAAGTAAGCCCACGCGTATCGGCATGCCTCCTGGAAAGAACACGCACGGAAAGCCTGATTGTGGCGTGAGTCCACACTGAGCTTTGTCTTAAAGCCCCTCCACCACTCCAGATGCGTGAGCTATGAATATGTGCATGTAAACCGTCAGAGATGCCGCATACACGCAGGGGTCACTTCAACTTACCACATCCGGCTTTGTGGCGCATGGCAATACGTGACGATATTGAATGGACCCGTCATTGAGCCCTGATACAATGCAGGTACCTCTGTTCTGAGACTTCCCGAACGCTCGCTGTCGTGCACCTTTCGTAACGAGGACCTTGCGTTTTACCTTCCGATGTGGAGTCTCATTCACCGGCGTGTCTTCCCGCCACGGAGTATAGTCGTCTTCGTCGTCTGACACAGCTATCTTTCGGTTGACATGCTCGGACTCGGGCACAGAGCTAGCGACACTAGGCTCGTCGTAAGAAACTGTGGCCGGGCCACCGTCAGCGTGAAGCGGTTATCGGTAACGGCGAGGACCCATACCTTTCTTCGAATCTCTAAGTCTACCGGGTTGTCTCACTTTGGGGCTGTCAACCATGGCTAGGGGATTTGCGTAGATGAAGTGGAAGTTGAAGGTGACAGTGAAGAAAGAGACAGAGTGAGTGAGTGGCTCAAAGCGGCTTTTGCTGAGTTTATATAGTCTTGCAAAGCGCGTGACGACAAGCCAGACCATCCATTGTATCCCAATTTGGATGTTGTGGCCATCGTTGACGCGGGTCAGTGACTGGAAACCTCAGGCACATCACCTGATTTGCATGGTCTGTGCGGGATGATTCCTGGAGTTGTGGTAGCGAACACACCGTTTGAAGCGTGGAAATCATGTTCAGCTGACCAAGGAGACACATTACGCAGTCAGTCTGCAGCAGACTCGATGGAGCTCACCTAGGTTCATTTTAACGACCTCGCTGGCGCGAAGCATACCCTGGTAAATGTCCGTGTATGTCCGCCTAAAAAATCACGTTCTCGCCGCAGAGTCATGAACCGGGTGACATTAAATGGAACTGCTCAGCGAAGAGTAGATCATGGCATCGACCAGGAAACTACTATTATTTGCTCATTGAGACATTTTAACAAGAAGCTAGTATTGACACGGCATGCTGCCTGTATATTTCCGAGGCTGCAAGCATCTCTGACACAGACTTAAGCATGGAGTAAGCTGCAAGCGGTGCTGGACAAACCCAGATGGTTCTGATGACCAAGCACAGGAGGTCAGATACGAATATCCTCACACTGTAAAGGACTGACATGTCAACATACTGCACATTGGAGGTTCTGCAAAGGATATCGAGGAATATGTGAACATGGGAAACAAGAATTACAGCACCTTGCGTCACTCTCAGTCAAGGTAACGATGTCTGTGGGGAGGCCGTTCTGCATGAACAGATCAGAACACTGAAAAACCAACGCAGTTGCCTGTAAGGGTAAAGGAGATACACCTACGAAGGGATGCTATGTAAGCGTTCCCATAGTACAAATCAGATCGCAGGGTTGAAACAAACTGGACCTAACCTGCACACCGACTGCGCGATCTCATACAGGGGACTTCAAACAATATGAACGCAATCGTGATGTCCGTCTACGAGTAAGTGTAAACGCACCGAGGATTAATTGACTGAACCCTGAATCGACGACACCAGTCAAGACTTGATTGGTCGGGGATCCCCGAGGGTAGCGCTGACTAAGCAGCCGCTAAGGGCTTTGGTGGCGCACACTGGTGGCGCTAGCCTCACCATTGCGACGTCGTCAATAACTCGCTGAATACGCGATATAGTCGACGCAAAAATGAATGACCTTAACATCCTTATTCATGACATGTGCCCTTGAACATCCTCTACGCGAAAGTACACCTGCGCTTTTGGACGACACTGGCAGCTCTTCACGCAAAAGCTCTCCACCCGCTGCACCTATCTCCTCACTCAGCCGTGCACCATCTATCTATTTTGATGACGACTCCAAGCATATCTCCATAGGCGACCGCACGAGAGTCGGGGGTGTCGAGCTAGATGCGGTGGACCCGTCGCTAAGATATGTCTCGTCAAGAGAGCGCGGACGCCTGGCACTTCGAGCAACGAAAGCATAGCCGACGACAGCGCCTCATTGGGTCTTGGGCATATACTCTTCCGTAAGTGTACGAGTATCAGGGTGGCCGAACTAGACGACGTTCACGCGTTCTCCCCCCATATTGACCTTCACGTGCCGCTTGCGGCCATCCTCGCCGCCCAAAGCGAAGACGGTGTGCAAACACGTCGACCGACGAGGTCCGTGCTAAAAGAAGGTAATCATCTGCACCTGAGCCTGGCAGACTAATACATTATATACTCTCACTACAGCACAGGTAGCGTTACATACCAAGCTCTTACCATCGGTGGGTATGATTCATTATCCCACCTGTAAAATAATGCATTGACTGCTCCCACTTTGGCAGCCGGCGCTCGACCATAATGGGCTGCTCCCACTCCGGCAGCCGGCACTCAACCATAATGGGCAGCGCGGTGCCGGTGCCCGGCATCGTTGTGTTGACTGTTCCGGGCACAGGCACCAGCGTGTCCTAAAACATCGCAAAATCAAATTGTTGGTTCCTTGCTGCTTCGAAAATGCATATTCGGCTCCCACCCTACCCTGCCCTCGTTCAGCGATGATGGGAGCACTGCGCACCTGGTGCGTGATCCACTGTGCGCGCTCCTGTCCCGCCCTCCCAATTCGGCTCCCACCCTGCCCTGACCTCATTCGGAAATAATGGGAGCACTGTGCGCCTGGCGCGTGATTCACTGTGCACACCGCGCCCTTATCCCGCTCTGCTATCAATACCCAATTTGGCTCTCATCCCGCCCTGCCTTCATTTGGCAATGATGGGAGCGCTGCACCCCTGGTACAGGATCCACTGTGGTGGCGTCTTGCGTGCTCAGCGGGAGGACTGTGCGCCTAGTGTTCAGTCTCGCCAAGAGCGGCTGTAATAATCATGCACTTAGAATTTGGATTGAAACACATGTATTGCGTCAACTACCATTACTGGTGATGTAAAGTATTTTTCTTTAAATATACAAGAGCAGGAAGCGAATACTGTCGGTTGATCGAGATCAAGGAATGAACATCAAGAAATGAACATCAAGAAATTGGTGTCCTCACAATACAGGCCAGCTCAAGATCCGGCTCACGCAACCCTCGCCCTCTTCCTCCTGTTTGAACTTGCTGTATCATTTGAAGCACGTATCGTGGTAGACAGCAGAGGGGATGCATTCCGTGGCCGTGAAGGTCTACGGTTATGCACCGGGCGCGAAGAAGAAGCCACAGTATCGAGATTCAAACTCATGCTCGCGTTGTCCATGGAAGATCCGGTAGGCATCAACAAGGTCGCCGCGTTTGCTGGAGTGGTTGTAGGGTTATCCCCAGAAGCTTCAGAAGTGATCGATGAGGTCGCTGCATTTGCAGGAGTAGCGTTGTCCGTGGAAGCTTCGGTAGTGGTCAACGAAGTTGCTGCATTGGTCAAGGAGGGACCCATCATCTGGAGCGAACCCCCTGTTGTACTGGAAACTGATGGGAAGGAGTGGCCAGCAATGAGCATTGGAGTACCCCCTCCAGAGAGGGTGAGGTTGGAGAGAGCCCAGTTGGATATGTCACTGAGGAGTGTATTAGGCAAGAGATTGTCTTGAGACTCATGGAGCATCTCCTAATTGACATGGGAGTAATCGAACGGCTCAACATCGAGATCTACAACAGGTGACAGCTGACTAAGGCCAATTGTGGTGCTTTCTTCACTGATTTCAAGTGATAGGCCAGTACCGGCAGAATAACCAAAGGCAGGAGCATGCAGAGTGTCACTGCTGTGCGAGATGGCCGTTGTCGTCGAAGCTGGGGAGCTATAGGAGACAGCGGCAGTCTCAACAACCATGGTACAAGAACTTGGGTGTTCTGGCAGTGAAAGCGGGGCAGGCAGTGTCAGTACAGCACCAGTTTTGGGGTCCGAGATAGAAGGAACATGCTGTATAGGCTCATAAGGGATGGGGGAAGCTTGATATGGACTATTGCTAGTCACATGGAGAGCAAATGAGTTGCAAATCTTGTAGCGTCTCCGAAGTTCAGTTTAGCTCAGTTCATGTCGTGACTTAGGGTCAAGCGACTGGGGAAACACAAACAAAGGGCGCTGGGGGCGTTCGACTGGTTCTTACCGAAGCGATGGTGAGCAACGCTCAAACCTAAGGCTAGGGACAAGAAATGTATTAGTTAGTTAAGTAAGAAAAGGAATACATGAAAGGCTTACTGACCTAGGGACAAGAGGTCAAAACTGAGGTCCCTAGGGTAGCAGAGGCCGGCTTATATACAGGGGAAGATAAGGGCAGGCTGTGCGCATTGGTCCATGCACAGCTGGTCCGTGCACAGCATGCTGACACAGCCCCGGGGGCCGGTGAGTCATCATGGCTGTGTCAGTGGAGCCTGAGCTGTGCTGTGCACTGCCACCCATCTAATCTAATCATTCCATAGATAATGACATGTCCATTTGAGCGTATCATACAGAGGTCGTGGGTTCAAGCCTGCAGAAAGGAAAAAATTAAAAAACAGCTAGACGCTGTACCAACTAGTGACAGGTAGTGTTGAAATGCACAGCCCTGCATGGTCAGGAATGAGCTCGAAAGCTCAGGTGCGCAAGTAGCCGGGGGCCGGATAGGGAATAGCATGGGTATGGGTAACCCATGTGGGTTATGGGTATGGGTATCATGGGTAAGCCATAAAAATACCCATGGATCAAGCAGTGCTGAAGAATGTGCCAAAGTTGGATGAGAAAGCATTAGGCAACCATTACTTCAGCTTGGATGGTCCCAGTAAGCCTACAGGTCTTGATTAAGACAGAATAGAGTAAGATATATTCTTGATGACAGTTAGTTTGCTTAGGTAAGCTAATCAATTTTTATAAAACAGCTAAGTTAGGTCTCAGCTGGAGTGATGGTTTGCTGATAAAGATGATGACCATAATATATAAGATGGTTGGAATGTTATTGAGCTATAAACACATATATTTTACTGTGGAATCTGCAAGGATACCTCGGACCCATGGGTAACCCACCATGGGTAGCATACCCATGAAACCCATAAACATACCCACAGAAAACCCATACCCACAGCACCCATGGGTTATGGGTATAGGTTTTTGTGGGTATGGGTGCGGGTATGAATGTTGCTACCCATGGGTTCACCCATGCTATTCCCTAGGGCCAGAGGCCCCTATCATAGTATATAACAACCGCACACGATATATGTATGCTATGTGATTGTCCCTTACAGGCACCACTATGCCCGTGGACAAATATGCCCCTTCTGTCATGAGTTGACATGGTGTCTAGCTGTTTTTTAATTTTTCCTTTTTGCGGGCTCGAACTCGCGACCTCTGTACCATACGCTCGAACGGACAAGTCCTTATCTACTGTACAATTAGATTAGATGGGACAGCAGTGCATGATACAATGGTCTTTACTCCTATATCGATGCCTGACTCGTAGACGACGAGCGAGGACTTATGGACAGTGCGTCATCCTGAAGATCGAGCGAGGAAGTCGAGAATGACCACTACCCCAAGCAAAGAGGAGCAGAGACTTGAATGAATAACCAGGTTGAACTTAGGGTTCGACCAACTAATGGTACAACTACTTATACAAGTACTGACTGCGCACGGACCATTGTGTCTATGTGGTCATGTTTGGTAAAGAAAGAAAGGTAGTGGTACGATACCAGGCACAAAGTGCACACGGACCCCATTATGTAAGCTACATAATGTTCAACCTGCGGGTGAGCGCTAAGACAGGCGCCAGTATGGGCGCTAGTAATACAAGAAATAGAACAGAAGACAAATGTTTCAGAACAAATAATAGCCAAACAAAAGGTGGGGACCAATGAGCATACATGTAGGCTGTACACTCAGAAGGACAGGATGTGGAAGGACAGGACATGTAAGAGCAGGCTTACAGAAAATCATTCAAACACTCAATGAATAGGTATGGTTAAATTGAGCCACTCAATGGATCGTGCAATCACTAACTTCGTAGGTCAAAATCACTCAACAGAAAATGGGGGTTCAGATGGTTAATTTGGTCGTTTAAAAGGTCATTTTCACCATCACAATTGCGACTACTCAGTGGGTGAATATTACCACAAGGGGACAATCTTCACCCATTACATTGGCTATTCGCGACTACTACATGAGTGAATACATTGGTGAAATTCACCATATAGACGGACCATAGTGAGCTCTAAGCACGCTCACCAGGGAAAACATGCTGGTCGAGTAAGTATGTACAAAAGCCGGAGGAAACACTAAGCTATGTGAAGTACTCGAGACACCGGGAAGAACCAGAATGCCTATGTCGCCGAATGTTAATGAGGGCTCCCTCCAGCGGATATAAAACTGGATTTAGAAAAAAAATGAGGGCTCGGTGCGCGGCGTGAGGACAAAGGATAGCGACTAAGACCAATCACGGCACGAGGCGTTAGGAACCATCGAGCGAGCGCACCCTGGGCGTGTCGCACTATTGCTGAGGGAACCGAGTAGCTACATCTCTCATGTATAGTACAGCTATGATACAAGCTGTTTGAAGTCCTCTGCAGAAGGCTAGGGAACGTGAGCCCATGCAAGCCGGACCGCATCTTGGGCGGGTGTACTACCGGTCCTGGGTGCGAATCGCGCCAATCCTCCGTGGTGGGTCGAGGCGGCAAGCTCAGCACATGGACCGCGAAGTCGTTTCATTTGGACTGCTCATGAGCCATTCCGACGCTCAGTACGCAGACTATTTGGATTGTGAGGGCGAGCGAGAGAGCGCGGCAGTGCCATCATTCAGCCGATCCAGCGAGGAAGCGATGGGGTATAATGCAATCATCTCATCATGCAGAGACGTGTGGGTTTCCTCGACCTTGCGGCGGTCCCATGTCTCTTCGCGACAGTGCCAGAATACTTGTGTACACGGGCGCGCCGTTCGTCGACAGACCAATCACTGATGGTGTCTGGAACCATTCATCGCTGAACTGTGTCCGAAGAGGGTCTACCTGTCTGACTACGAGATAAATCGAACCTCGAGGTTATGATGTATATCTGGACTTACGATTGAGAGGACGCCAAAATGAAGGAGATAGTCTTGCAGACAGCATCAGCGGTCTGTAGTCTGTGGTCAAGGAATCAACTCACAGCATTGCCTTCGTAGAGAGTCGTTTCCACGCCAGCGGTGAGGATGAACTACAGGTCCGACTAATATCCCCTTACTCAGTGGTGGTCGCCTAAAAGCGGGTATATGAGTGCAGCGCCACAGTTCGACTGAGCTGCCGCGCAGGGTTGTGCTGTTTCCATTCTCGTAGCATACTCCAATCTAGCCGTGGAACTGAGTCAGGAAACGCGTGTGCAACCCATCAGATACGTCTCTCACTTGATCTTTGCGGCATCCTACGACTGATGAGCAGATGCAACTGCTAACGATAAGACGAGGAGGTATCTGAGGCGGTCAACAGGATGAGTCGAATCATACATGGCTAAGAAAAAAACTGACGGATTGTGCTGACTGCACAGAATGTGGTTTGGGTATTGCAGCGATAGATCCTAAACCTCGTGTGAGGTGAAGTATTAACGCATATGAAAGAACGTACCATTACTCCGACGTCAGATTGACAGGCGCAGATAAGGCTGGATTGTGATGGCCACGGCTTCTGCCAAGGGGTATCAGCTGATATGCCTGATCAGTACGACAGAGGAAATTTTACGATTTGGTCCGAAGATTGGAGTCTGCTGGTGATAGTTGCGGAATGGAGAGTCGGAGAAGGCGATTTGCGGGAACGATCGCCATCAGCGGCACATGCTTGCAGTTTCCATATTCAACAGGTCGACCTCCGCTTCCTGTTGGCTGTAGATAGACAGATTCCCATACGGGGAGCCGACGCCCAAGGGCTGGTCTACATAGGGTTTTAACTGCCTTTGAGTCAGTCGCCGAGATCGAAGCGCGGTCAGATACGCATAAGGGTATATTGTCTCACACGTTCGGGTCGTATGTCATATTGCTAGCAGCAACTGTGATGCAGCACAGCCCTTTCTCCTCGAGTGTGCTAGGCACTCCCGGGTTTGAAAGGTTAAACAAATCTTGATGTCTGGCGGTTGAACCCCGTTCGGCTATGTTGTGAGGGAATCGTTACTCGAAGAACCAGGACCTGTGTGTCAAATATCAGTGAACGGAACAAGACGGGACACACATTGTTATGGAGGTAAGGTAGTACGCACCGGCGGCTGGTAGACGCTGTTTGGCGTCTGGCAAGGACCATGCGTATAGTTACCGCGGCGGCCGGAAGGAAACTCTGAGATACAGCCGATAGCCCGACTGGAAATTGAGGGGAAAAGGGCAACGCAATGCTCCTCAGGACAACTGTACATCCCGCCCCTTGGCGACAATCGCCGCGCATGGTGCGGCAGCACATCTGGCTCATCCGTGCGGGTCGGGGGTGTCTGTATCAGTCCATTGCCGCCTGTGAATCAACGTGATGACAGAAACTCCAGTCGCGATGGCGGGTCGATGAGGTTCGATTGTTCAATACGCTAATCTGAATATTCATGGTCTGCCAGCACGTGCAAAACGCACAGCAGAAGGGATAAGGCCAGGTGTCAAAACTTGGGACCGTATCTGGAACATTTGAGTTTGGACAAGACGGCGTCAGGCATACTTTCATCTGCAGATCTACCAGAAAACGTACTTTGAAGAATGCCATTCCGCGAACCAAGGTTCTTGCGCAGCAGTCAGAACTTTGCCAGTTTCCTCCTGTCGATAAGCGAGCAAATCTGCGTCCTCAGGTTCCGCGAGCGGCCCCATCGTCCACTCGTCTCGAGCCTGATCGCAATCCTGACTCCACAGACGAATGCTCGCTCTCCATTGAGCATCTTCCTCCGCGGTGTAGACCTCACCGTCCACCCTGGTGTCACCAGAACGCTTCCTCTTTATCCCTGAGACGATTGGCCGAAGTGGGCAAGGCAAGCGGGCAGTGTCATCATCCGACAGGGGAGGGCAATATTGCTTCCTGGGGCTGCGGAAATAACCATCAGGGAAAGGTGTGAGCTCGCCTGTTGTCCACAACCGCCTGCCGCGTACTCTCTCCAAATACATGGGGATCGTCCATGACGCATACCGGGAGACTATGCTGTATGTATGATTAATCTCCTTGTGGGGCAGCAGCTGTCGCAAGATACGCTGGTAGTGGAATGGTCGCTTGCTCAATTTCTGTCCCGCTCGAAATACCATCAGACGGAGATCGGCTTTCAATTTATGCCACCCGAGCGACCGATATGAGCAAGGGGCCGCCATGACGGCAGCCGTGATGGGGTTCCCCATGGTCGCGCATGAGTCTGGAGGGTGCTCATCCTCTGCGATGACGCAATACTTATACACCTGTGTCACCATAAGCGCGGCGATCGGCCAAAAGAGTATATTGATACATACAGTGCAATGTTGAAGCTTCTTCAAATGACCAGGATGGGGTATCATCAACAAACGGTTTGTTTCCCACAGCTCTCGGAGGTCGCGTCGAACTACGCACAGTATGTGAGGCGACAAACGACGGCTCAAAGGTGGAAATTGCGCACGGAATATGATATTCCCAGGTGCATGACAACGCAGGGTGTTGTAGTTGCCACGCATGCGGGTTATCAAGGTGTCGAACTTCCGATTCACGTTGTCAGTCACACAATCCATAATTACAGCCATACACTTACCAATCGCTGAGGCATGTCTAAAGGCCAGATATAGCACCCCTCTACATCAGCAGACACGCAGCCGGTGATCATGCACCTTGGATGAGGTCCGAAACGAACGGCGTCCTTGACGTTGGACGCGTTGCATCCAGTGACGGACGTGCGCATCCTCTTGGCAGGGACTTCACCAGTCTCTGTCTCCGGACACCGTTTCCGCTTCCGCGGGCGGGGGATGCTTTCGACTGGCGATTCTCGTTCAATGTGGGGGGAGATCGGCTCGACTGCATCTGGGTGGACAAGCGCGATAGTGGGTATATGCACAAGAACGTCCTTAGATAAAACATGCTCGTAGTGGAGCGGTCGCTTAATGAATTCACGACCCACTCGAATTGTCATTAAATGCAGATTGGCACTCAGCTCGTGCCACCCCAGCGAGCGACACGGGCTACAAGTCGTCGCGACTGGAGGCCTAATGGTATGATCCTTGGAGATGCGCGAGCTTGAAGGGTGCTCATCTTCTGCAACGACGTAGTACTTGTAGACCTACTTGATAGTGAGTGCAGCAACCACCTGAGGGGACGTACGATACATACAGGGCGGGTATCAGGGTGGTCTATATGATCGGGATGGGGTATCATCAGCAGGCGATTCATTTCCCACAGTATACGGAGGTCGCGTCGAACTGCATACGGATGGTAAGGCAAGGTAAAACAGGCCAGATGTGAGCAAGTACGCACGGAATAGGATGTTTGCGGGCGTGGTACAACAAAAGGCATTATAATTAGTAGGCATGCGGACCGCCGCGCAGTCGCCCTACACAGCTGCCTTGTCAGCTACGAGGCCGAAGTGGTACTTACCCTACTCACCAACGGTTGGGGCGTGGCGGGAGGCAGGATATAGCACGCCTCCACCTCGGCGGACACGAAGCCCGTGATCATGCATCTAGGGTGAGGTCCGAAAGGAATCCCGTCTTTGAGCTGCGATGCATCGCTCGGACTGTCAGATAATCGCCTTCTCTTAACACAAACTTCGTCGACCGTCGTGTCTGCACACCGTTTTCGCTTCGGGGGGCGAGCGATAGCGTCAAGTGGAACGTGTATGTCAATACCGGGGGCAACCGGGGGATCCGCGTCCGGTTCGACGACCCTGATCTTCGTGTAGTCGTGGATGGCCATATGCTCAAGACCGAAACAAGCGCGGTCCTCGGCCTTGGTTGCGTCGTTCGAGGTGCCAGACGTCCGCGCCCTCTTTGCGCGAACGTCATAGGTGCTTGTGTCCGCACTTCGCTTCCGTTTCAGTGGACGGGAGACGTATTCTGATGACGGGTGCAATGCGTCGGGCTCGACGTCCCCGACACTCGTGCAGTCGCTGATGGGTGTATGTCCAAGACCGAAGAACGCGCCGTCATCGACCCTGGTTGCATCGCTCCAAATATTAGGCAGCAGCGCTCTCTCTGTGCTAACTTCATCAGCCCTTGTGTCCGCCGACCGCCTCCGTTTCAGCGGACGCGTGATGTCTTCTGGTGGCGAGGAGTCCGCATCTGCTTCGACAATCCTGATGTCCGTGCCGTCGCCAGCGTGTGTATGCTTAGAATAGTCATCAAAAGAAACAGATGGTGCACGACTGACTCCAGAAGTGGGTGTAGCTGGTGGAGAGCTTTCGCGTGAAGAGGAGCTGCAAGTGTCGTCGGAAAGCGCGGGGGTACTCATATCGCGTGGGGGGTGCTCAGCAGCGAGCGTATGGGACGTGTCAGGAATAAGGATGTAAAGACCATTCATTTTTGTGTCGACTGTATCGCGAGTTCAGCGAGGTAGTAACGATGGTGTAGCGCGAACAGCGTGCGCCACCAGTGCCTTTAGCGGGTGCTTAGTCACCGCTACTCTCGGAGATTCCCGAGGCCAATCACGTCTTGACTGGTGTAGTCGATTGAATGTACAGTCAATGAATTCTCAGTGCGTTTGTACGCTTTCGTATATGTCCGTCTGCGCCTTGTGATACACAAACTCAGCACTCTGAATGTTTTCATGGAAGACGTCGCAAGCCCTCTGTGTGAGATCGTAGTTGGAGTCCGGGTCAGGTTGTTTTGACTTTGCAATCTGTTTCGTACTTCAGAGATGCTCACATTCTACTTCTGCTTAGATGTAACCCCTTGCTTCTCACAGAAAACGTATCCCTCAACACCTTGCACAGAATCCCTTGTGGACAGTACGTGTGAGGACATTCGTACCTGACCTCCCGTGCTCATCATCAGCATTCATCTGAATCTGTTCAATGAGGCTTGCGACTCAGGACACAGGTAGAATCATTTTACATCCTTGAGTATACGTAGGAAATGTTTGTAACCTCTGGCAGACACGGGCGGCGTGCCGTGTCAATTCCAGCTTCTTGTTGGATGTGTCAATGAGTGAATAATTGTAGCTTTGTCGTCAATGCCATACTATACTCTTCCCTATCACCCATTTTATGATTCTGCGGTGAGAACATGGGTTTTGGAGGCGGACAGACACAAACGTCTCACCTGGAAATGCTTCGCGCCAGTGAGGTCGTTCAACATGTCCTAGGTGAGTTTCGTTCCTTTTCGTCGAGTCTTCCGCAGACTGACTGTGCGATGCCGATTCAGCAAATGACAAGCGTGCCTCCTTATGCGACCTTTATCGTGTGTCTCTCCGGTCAGCCGGGCACGGTTCCCGCGCCTCAGATGGTGCATCTGATATCACAACTCCAGAACACACCTCGCACAGACCATATAGATTAGGTAATATGCCTGAGCTTTCCAGTCACCAACCCGCGTCGACGATTGGCCCAATATCCAGATTGGAATACAATGGCCTCTGTGGCCTGTGGTCACGCGCTTTGCAACATAATATGAACTCAGCAAAAGCCGCTCGAGCCACACACTCTCGCAGTCTCTTCCTTCACCTTCACCTTCACCCCTCACCTCATCTCCGAAAATCCCCTAGCCATGGTCGACAGCTTGGAATTGAGACGTTCTGATAGACTCAAAGACTTGGATCCAGGTACGGCTCCTCGTCGCTACCGTTGATCGCTTTGCCCTGACTGTGGCCCGGCCACAGTTTCTTACGACGAGTGCAGCGTCAGTGGCTCCCAGCCCGAGTCCGAACCCAAGCCTGCGTATGGAAAACGGAAAAGGGAAATATCAGACGACGGAAGCGATTATAGGCCGTCTAGGGAAGGCACGCCGGTCAATGACACTCCGAAGACTCCAAAACGGAGAGTGAGTCGCAAGTCCGGCATTACAAACGGTGCACGACAGCGAGCGGTCAAGGCGTCTCGGAACGGAGGTGCCTGTATTATATCAGGCTTAAAGGACAAGTCAGTGCAACAGTGCCATGTCTTGCCACGCGCCACAGACGCGCGTATCGTAAGTTGAAGTGGCTCCTATGCGGAGGTGGCGTCTCTGACGGTCTACATACGCGCATGCATAGCTCACCTCCCTGGAGTGGTGGTGGGGCATCAAAAAAGAAGGCCTCAACGTAGATTCTAGCCGCAATATGGCTTTCCGTGCGTCTTCGTTCTCGGAGGCATGTCGATACGCGAGGGCTTACTTGCATACAGTTCGTGGCGACCTCCATATATTGTGGGATCGTGGAGACATCCTTATTGCTCCGATGCCCGACGTGGTGGACGCATATGTGGAAAAATACAAGGATGGTGAAAGACACGACATTTTGGAGGTGGGTCGCTGCAAGCTATTCGTTTACGACTGATGCGAATCGTCGCCACGATGCGTATAGGTCATCGGCAAGAAAAAGATCCACTGGTACTGTGTGATCCCCCACCCTAGCCTCTCAGGTGGTGCACGCTCTAGGGCAAAGCGTGCAATCCGCCAAGGGTTCACCAACGGGTTCCACAAGCTCAACTTTGTGCCGTCCCACGCGCGGCCACACTTCATGATCGTGAATGCCGCCATGAAGATCATGGAGAACAAAGAGCTGTGGGTGAGGTGTCTGGAGGAATTCTACGAAAGAATTCACCTCAAAATCGACGCATCCCGCTTTGCGGAAAACCTCTTGACATTGAACGCGTTGTGGACTGCGCCACCACCGGGAGAGGCACAATTGAGGAGGAAACAGGCATATATGTCAGTGAACACACTTGATTCGTGGCAACGCAACCACTTATTTCGTTCGTAGGCTTCCTATGAATATTCCGACAGGCGTACAAAGGACGCCTGAACGGTCCAAGGGTACGTCGTTATGCATTGCCTTGTTATGTGCCACGGACTCACTTGAACATCTATGGGTCTTGTACATGACAAAGACCGCAAACCGGAGGCCCGCAACTCCAACGGTGAACCGTACGTTAACACCCTCAAGTCGCAAGTCGCCCAATTGGCTCCTACTGGACCACGGTGCTTGTTGACCCATCAAGACGACAAGTCGATTCAGGGATGTCACGTCATTCCGCGAGGAACCAACGGTAATTTGGTAAGCCACTGATAGTCCACGGTGGCATTCGCGCGACCCTGACTGGGGTGCGCCCGTGCATGTAGCGTAGGCGGCTGGCGGCATGGTGGGGGCTTGAAGATTTTGATATCGACACGCCTTTCAACCTTTTCTTGCGTGAGTGTATATATTCCAATCGCTCGACGTAGCCCTGACTCAGACACCACATAGTAAGGGCCGATCTCCACTCCTTGTGGGACAAAGGGCATATTATCTTCGTGCCTGAGCCTCAAATCGTCGCCGAGTATCCTATAAGATCAATTGTTCCCATCGATGTAGGCATGGTGAGTGAAGGGACAGGGTATAGACATTTTATCTTGTTCACGGTGCTATCCAGCCACTGGACGAACCATTTAGAGTGTGCGAAGGCCCTCTTTACAGATATTGCGCCATCGGCCATCGCGACCTTCCCCGCACAGAAGAAGATAGTGCTTTTCCGAGGGCACTCGACACCATAAGCTGGGTGTTTTCCCGCGTTCCTCCTGGATTCGTCATATACAATGTGGGTCTGGCGCTATCGAAGGGTAACGGACCAGGTAGCTTCGAAACAGCTCTAGACGCCTTCTACAAGGAGCACAACATCGAATATGAAGCAATCAACGTACTCACTGGTATCAAAGAAATCTACAACCAATTGTTAGAAGGCATGCCGCACCACGGCAGCATGGATTCCACCACCGAAGAAGCCGTCAGCATGGATTCCGATACCGAAGAAGCCTGTTGGACGGATTCCACTACCGAAGAAGTCTTCAGCATGGATCCCGCTGCCGAAGAACTCTTTGGGACGGATCTCGCTACCGAAGAAGCCTGCCGGACGGATTCCGCTACCGAAAAAGCCTTCAGCTGGGATCCCGCTACCGAAGCAGCCGTTTGGATGGATTCCGATACCGAAGAAGCCTGTTGGACGGATTCTACTACCGAAGAAGTCTTCAGCTGGGATCCCGCTGCCGAAGAAGCTTTTTGGCTGGACTAGCTGTCTCGATTGGTGCTTTGGCTATACTTCGTTAATACTCATATTATAACAGATGCGATTTTAGCTGGATTCAAGATATCTGCGTGTAATCAGTCAATACTGGGTGTAGGGTGATCATCAGGATTGATGTGGCCTTATGGCCAGTTCGGATACGAAAAATATGCATTGCTATGGCTGATCATCTATGCCCCATTATGTAGTATCCAATCGTATACTTCATGTCTAAGAGAGGTGACCTAATTACATCGCTGCTCGTCACAAGACATGAGAGAGCGGTTGCGTCGTGTAGAACACCCCGAGTCGTCGTAGTACATGTACGACGTCGGGGCGCGAGTGGTGAAATCCAATGAAAAGAATCAGTACGAGGTTACATTGCTCAGCTTGCGCAGGACCGTGACGTCGCATCTCGCCAGCAGTCTGATATAGGTGTGTTGGAACAAGGGTGCGAACGGCGTGGGGCGCGTTTGTCCACGGGCGTAGCGATGCCCGTAAGGGACAATCGCGTAGTGTACATGCATCAGCAAAAAGGTACGAAGCAAATAAGGTCCCGTGTGTTGGAACAACGGTGCGAACGGCGCGGGGCGCGTTTGTCCACAGGCGTAGCGATGCCCGTAAGGGACAATCGCGTGCGGTACGTACATCACGCGGGGTCGTTATATACTACGATAGGGGCCTCCGGCCCCCGGCTACTCGCGCGCCCAAGCTTTCGAGCTCATTCCTGACCACGCGGGTCGGCGTTTTTCAACACCGTGACCCATGCAAACCTGCACGTCACGGTTGGTGCATCATTAGCCCTTGCAAGACATCCCATGGTGTCACTAGAATGCTGGGGTATTGTTTGATATCGAGCTGCTGTCTAAATAATTTCAGGAACTACCAGTCTGGTGATACCTACAGAAGCACTCACAATAAGATGACGAGCCTGTTGTTCGGCATCCGAGGACTGGGAAGATCGGACCATTTGCGTGAGGTCCTCCCAAGATACTTGCTGTTGACTTTTGGGTACGTCGGGCAAGTGTCGCTGCCGGCCCGGGTCACGTGGTCATGCACCGGTGTGGGAATAGGACTTATGTAGGTGTTGTGCGCCGTAGGTAGCCCCATTGGTTTGTAACCTTATCCACCATTGATCCCTATCCATCGAGGACATTGTCTGCTGGCGGTCTTTCCGGCATCATTCTCACACTTGCGGCCCTTGGGATGATCATAACAGAATCGTCGATCCAGGCGAGCACATACATAGGCAGATCATTGAGGCATATGGCCCAGGAGCAAGACTCAAGATAGGGATTTATCGAGAAGTCGCAAATGATAGGAATACAAGGCGCAATGAACCACAATC